CTCCCCTCGCCACTGACCCCCAACCTCCGGAGCCCACCAGCTCCCCTGCAGTGCTCCAGCACGGTCGCAAGGGCATTTGAGCCCTCGCTGCCTTTTTCCTGGGGAAACTGCCCCAAAGTTTGTGAGCCTGAGCTCGGGCAGGAGCGGTTTGCGCCGCCGGTGCCCTGCGCTGAAGGTGACATGAAGCGAGCTGGCAGGGAGACAGCCGGCGGGGTTACGCTGGTGTTTATCGCGTTATGGGGATGCACAGAGGCCATCGAGATCAGGGCCCCGCGCGTTCAGCCTGACACCGAGGGAAGGACAGGGCCTGTCCTAAAGAGCTTAAGCCTAAATCTGAGTCAGGAGCTCCCGGTGGGATGAGGCACTTTTCCCACTCCGTGCGCCGCGTTTCTCAGGGCACAATGCGGGGCTGCAGGAGGCAATCGCTCAGCCAGGTCGGAGCCCTTCTGCCCTGGCTGGTGTCTCCTCGCCTGCCCCAGCAAACCTTAGCCACGGGCAAGAAGGTGTTAATTTGTGTGAAGCTCCTTGGCCCTTGGAGAGTTCCCTGTGCTCCTCTCCCTGCCAGGCTCTGATGCTCTCTCGATGAAGGAGCCGGCACTCAGTGCCACGACTTCTCCTCCTGCCTCTTCCCCACCGGTGCCTGTGCCCCACTGAGGACACAGGGTACAAAGCACCGCAGGCTTCTTGTCACGTGCAGAGGCCAGTTTGGATCCACGAGGCACTAGGAGTTGTCCTGAGGTCCCTTTTAGAGATTTGGGTCTATACCCACAGCCAGGGCTGGGGCAAACAGGGGCACCTGGACTCGATTTTCCAGGCACCCATAAAGACTTTGAGTGGGGAGCCCAGGAGTCCAGCAAGCTGTCTCAGGAGCCCTCACAAGCGTCGCAAAGAGAGGCATTACATGTGTTTGCACGAAGCATGAAAACGTCCCAGCCGCATTTGCATGTGAATGGGGATGCTGAATTTCACGGCATAACCGAATGCTGATCAACTGCTGCTCGGTGTCTTTTGGCTTCTTCTCTTAAAGCCTCCCGGGAGGTGGATGAGGGCATCCTGCAGGCCCAAGGTTCTGTGGCTCCTGCCCAGCACTCACGAGCAGCCCTCGTGTTCTTAGACGTGTTCCTCTCACCTTCCCGCTGGTGATGGCCCTTGTCTATCCTTGCTTGGCTGCTGCCTGGCTCCCCCATGCCACAATCCCGGCAGCCTCCCTGGCCCCCGAGTCCCTCACCCGCCCCAGGAGCTCGGTGCTCTGTTTGCATAACCAGCAAATCTTATTCTAAATCCTGCTAAGCCAGCCTGAGTGGTGGTGGCGGGGAGCCGGTGGATGACGGGGAGCTCCAGGGAGCGAAGCCCACACCCTCCCTGAGTTTTCCACTGGGCAGATGTCAAGTTTGGGGTGCAGGAACGCACATCGTCATGCCAGGAGGAGAGGGAGGAGTGAGAGCCAAGCCCCTTGAGCCACAGCCCTCCGTTCCTCCACTCACAGGGTGATGTTTGCTCCCCCAGACCCTCGCCCCTGCTCTGCCTCAAGCGCTGGAGCGGAATTGCTCCTCTCTGCGCGCACGTGCTCGTGTGGCCCCCAGCCAAGCAGCAGGATCTTAGTCATGTGTGTGGGCCAGCACGTGTGTGTGTGTCCTGAGCGTCTGTCTCTCCACGATGTGTTGGACTCTCTAACTTTGATCCTAGGTTTGCTTTCTGACTGTGTTCTGCCTCTCTCCTGCTCCATCCCCCGCGCTCCCTCCCTGCAGGTTTTACTGGGACCTCATCATGCTGCTCCTGATGGTGGGCAATTTGATCATCCTGCCTGTGGGCATCACCTTCTTCAAGGATGAGAACACCCCTCCCTGGATCGTTTTCAATGTGCTTTCGGACACTTTCTTCTTGGCTGACCTGGTGCTGAACTTCCGGACAGGCATCGTGGTGGAGGACAACACGGAGATCATCCTTGACCCTCACACCATCAAAATGAAGTACTTGAAGAGCTGGTTCCTGGTCGACTTCATCTCCTCCATCCCTGTTGACTACATCTTCCTCATTGTTGACCTGGAGACCCAGGTGGATTCTGATGTCTACAAGACAGCCCGGGCCTTGCGCATCGTCCGCTTCACCAAGATCCTCAGCCTGCTGCGCCTGCTGCGCCTCTCCCGCCTCATCCGCTACATCCACCAGTGGGAGGAGGTGAGAACCCCTTGAGGGTCCAAGGTCCCTGGTCAGGGTCTCAGGCCAGGTCAGGGGGGTCCCTGGCTGTGAGGTCAAAGTGGCTGGAGGACAGGGGTTCAGAGGGCTGTTCTGCAAAAAGCGTTTCTCAGTAGCTCTGCTCTGCCTCTGCCCCAGATCTTCCATATGACGTACGACCTGGCCAGTGCCGTGGTGAGGATCTTCAACCTCATCGGCATGATGCTGCTGCTGTGTCACTGGGACGGCTGCCTCCAGTTCCTGGTGCCCATGCTGCAGGACTTCCCCGAGGACTGCTGGGTGTCCATCAACCGCATGGTGGTGAGTGCTCCGGGCGGGGGCGGTACCGGCTGCGCATCTGTTGGGGTGGGGAGAGAGGATTTGGTTACA